CAGTTGCTCCAAATATTATAAGTAGCGCTATCAATTGTATTTTTACTCCTTCACCAAATTAAAAGTTACTGTATCCATCCTATACATTGCAACACTTTCCATACATTGTACCTAATATTTTCTAATTAGAGAGAAAGAGATAGTCAGTTATGGGGTCTAACAGCCCCATTGCTAGCAATATACCCTATCAGACCGACCTCCACGAGATCCTCTCGAAAACTATCGTGGTTAATTTCTAACTTAATGGGCCAACTGTCCGAACTACATCCTCATCATTTCAGCCTCCACTAATACCCCGCTGTTGTACACTAGTATACAATAGCCGGTGTCTCGTATGCGTCATTGCATTTTCATCCATTGAAAATATATATCTCTAGTATATAAACTAGACAATAATATCTCGTACATACTATGGAAGCATGAAGTGCCTACAAACTGGGTTCGCAATCGTAGCCCGCGCAATATCCGGGACAAGGTGGGCCGATAGCACCGATGTTCCGACATCAGACTCGTGCGATACGGGCGAGATAAGAATTCAATAAATACTACCATTTGTACTACCTATATTTGTGTAAATACGCAAAATGTACCCACATATTTTAAATTGTCGTTGTTTTTAAACAAAAGAGTTTAATCCTCTGTTTGTTTCATACACATTTATCAGTATAATAACGTAATTTGAATTTCCATTTAACAAGTTTTCTTGTGAAATAAAATTCTAAACCTACCCTACTACCACCTATGCCTAATTGAATTATACGAATAACATTTTACATAATTTCGTTGTAAATTAGTATACATATTTTTTATACAACTTATAATGGCAAACTAACTAAAGAACCATCTGATAGAAAGTGATAACTGTCACCTATAGACATGAGCAGTAGCATGTACAAAACTTAGTATACTGCTTCGCCATGATACCCCCCATGCGTTGCTATTCCAAAAGACTAAGGTCTCTAAGGACAAATGCCTCTGTACTCTTCTGTACTTACTTTTCACGGTAGAAATACGAATGGAACAGAGGTACCCAAGCAAACGACATTTGTAAAAAGTTTTCCTCTGGTATATAATGTTATAATTCTTAGTAATATTATAAGTACGACAGGAGTTTCTTTGTTATCTTTGTTATTACTATGAAATTTGATATACACGTACTGTTCGAGATGGAAAAGTGAGCTACAGGCTACTTTCATTCCAACCAGTAAACATATCCCAGTCACGTCAACAAAGTCGCGAGTAAAAGCTAGTAAAAATATAAATGCATTATACAATAATTAGTTTAAAAAAAAAAGAAAAAAAGGAACAAAATATAAATTGAAGTATAAATTTAATTATTATTTTAATTTAGTCTGGTACTTATTCTAATTATAGTATTTGCTGAAATTATCTCTAAAGGCAACTAAGTCTGGCACAGTGCCATTGGGAAACTTATTTCACTAGTACCATATGGAGCCAACAAGCTCATACACAGTTAGCCAAATACTAAGATACCTATTTATAAATAATTATGTCAATAGACATTTACGTATAGTTTCATTTCGATTTAAAATAGTGTATAAATTGTAATATATGTGGGCAAATAGGTACAAGTATTATTTTATAATTATTATTATTACATTGTAATTATTTAATAATTATAATAATAGCCGTATCGCCTCGATATAGAATGGGCCACTCCTCCTTTCCCGTGAGTGTCGTAATAAGCGACTAAAGAAAATTAATGGTCGAGGAATGTACAGCAGCGTCCCTCTTAAAACATCACAATAACCTAATTATGGTTGCCAACCCGCCTACAAAGCGTGACGACCACTGGCCACCATCAACAGTGTACAGTTTACAGCTGATATATGATGAATTAGTTATTAAGTTTATTATTTTATATATAGATATATATTCACTAATAGTAACAACTAGTATTCTTTACTTGTATTATTACATTTTATGTTACACTGAAACAAAAAATATAGGTGTAAATTATAACGAGCTCAATATTATAATAATTAAAAAAATATCCAATAAAATTAATAGATAAAATGTTCTAGATAACCTTAATTTCTTACTTCATACAACTCTTTTCAAGTACGTCTTACGTATTGTGTACCAATATGACGCACAATACCAATCCAATTTAGAAATAGGTTTTGATAAGAAATTACTTCGTCTAGACGAGTTTCAATATACGCTTGAAACACATCACAAAAAATAATATCGAAAACAGCGCGTTAAAAAGTCTAGACATATTAGGAATTATATTTACTCATTCACTACAAATTTGCGTCATTTTTAAATCTTAAAGTATTAAAAAAGTAACTTTCATGAAAAAATGCCATACCTGTCGTCATTTTCGGTCTGGCACTACTTACTCTTTATATTATTTTCAATCGACTTCATGAAAAAAGTAGGTTCTCAATTCAGTTGTATTTCTTATGTTTGTTACGTCATAATTCCGTCATTTATAAACCAATTTGAGACTTTTATCTAAAAGGATATACTTTCACATATCCCATAGAAATTCTATAAAAATCAGTTCGGTAGTTAATTTTTTTAATCAAAATAACAGACTTTGCCACGATCGAAGCCGGGTGTTTATGTGGAACACAATCATAAAATATCTTATGAAATTAATTCATAACTAATTCTTTATTATCCTTAGATATGTCATAAATATGAAATGAGTTTGTTTTTTACTTGATAGCGCCTTAACGACTTAATCAAACAATATGAAATTTGGTATACACATTCGAGTAATAAAGACTACTATAGAACTGGAGAAAAATGAAGACTAATTTTTATTCCGATTACATATACATGACATATTCCTGACACGCGGACAAAGTCACAGGTAAAAGCTATATATCTATATAAATTATTTATAAAATACAATAATATATATCAAGACTTAAACACGAATAGACTAGAATATACACAAGACTTTGCAGCATCGTTGGCATGGAAAATGCAAACATCTTTTCCTCAAACTAAAAACTAAATAATAAAAACTGATTGTTCATAGTATACTCATAATGTTTATTAGTTAATAGCTAATTTAGAAATTTCCTTCTCTTGTACCGGTGAATTACGCTTTGTTGCGCTGTCACCCCTTCTGACATTCTAGAAATAAACTTTAATGGTTAAGTACTTAACAGTAAAGTGCAGTAAAGTGTACCATCGCAGACATTGTATCGTAACATAGCTTTGAAGAGCTAGAAACCCCACGAGTGTAATTTCCACGCATCGGCTTGCAAACTCGTTCTATTTTCAATTTGACGTTGTCTCCCGCAGCGCCGTATCGCTGACGGTATCAGAAAGACCATTGACGGTGTGTCAATGTAACAAAGCATAGCCAGACCTACATTGAATTTATTAAAATTTTGTTACAATGGGATCGATTCTGAAGCCTTTCCTAAAGGTTACGTTTTGTAAATGTGTGATGCTGCATGTTGAGCATGTTATGGATCATGCCAGAATTATTGCTAAAGGATTTTTTCCTCTATTATACATTTCACCATCACAGTATAGTCCTTGCAGAGGTTAACTTTCAACAAGTTTTCTAATTGTTGAGCAAAATAAAAATATAATAAAGAGTTATTGTCCCCCCATTACCTCTGTTTGAGCATATGATATTGAAATATATACAAGGTACAAAGACATACTACCTTAGTCCTCAAAAACAGCAAACACATGAGGCGTCACAGTATATTCTGTGGTCTTCACGGTGCTATTCATGTCTACAGGCAACAGTTACCACTTTCCATCAGATGGGCCGCTAGCTTATTGAACATTCGGAGTTGCATAAAAAAATTACACAATCTCTATTGTACCATATTCAACGATAGATATTTGAAAACTATTAAAAAAAATTGTATGTAAAACTTCCCGTTTCCACGGCTTTTATTACAAGTATGAACAATGAAATTATAATACAGAAGCGGAATTTTTAAAACGAACCGTTCCCATCAATACAAATGATTGTGAGAACTTTTCGGTTTGTTGCGCTCCTCCGTTGGAGTCCATTGTGCGAAGTGATTAGATTAATTTTCCGTCAGAAGTTCCAAAGGAATTACATGAAATCTTTTGACGTCAAATCAAAGCAAATTATTTAAATGTAATTAGACGTTTCTTATTCTGTACAAAAAATAATTGGTGGTAGGTATTTTAAATATAAAGTGTTATTTTTAAAATATTTTAAAATGCTAATTTAGAAATTTAAAAATATATTAGGTCGAAAAATTCAATGCTATAATGCAAGATCGAATTTAACAAAATAATTGCAAATTCATTTTCCAAATCCGTCAATATAAGGACAATGATAACTTTTAAATAACGTAGCGATTATCTACTCTGTGGTTACGAGCATAAATACTGGATTCTCGGCTCCTTTTCTTCTAATTTTAGTTATAATACGAATAACTGCAATTTTAATATATAAAAGACATTGCGACCAAAGCGAACAAAATGTAAATTACAATAAATAAATCACAAGCACATTAACAAAAACAATAAATATTATTACATAAAACACAATTCACGACATTCGCAAAGCAAAGCGTAAATAAAATAGAAACGTGTTCGCAAAGTAGGTATTTACTCATAAAAAGGAATCTTGCAAAAAAAATACTGAGTCGATTTATGTTGTTTTCTCCATATTGTTCATATTGTAAGGTACTTTCGCGGTTCGTTACCCCGAGTACGAGAACACATTGCAGCTCAAATCTAGCGTAAATAGATTTATCTCTAGCCATTCGTATATTTTGATCTGAGGCTGAGACTTACTTGTTTTTTATTCACTTACGGATTGGAATAATTTGTTAGACCATACATATAATAAAATTATAGTCGATAGTTGCTGCTTCAATTACATGGTCATAAATACTGGTGCCCCACAAGGCTCTATACTATCCCCAATACTGTTTTTGCTGCATAACACTGATTTGTTAACCTTAGATAACATTCATTGTAATGCGGATTATAGTACTGATGGGATGCCCACTATACAGGTCCAAACAATATTCCACGTTTCATCATGGAGAACAATCATGAACATCTTGTGTTTCAAATGGGAAGAACTCTAGCCAGAGTCTCCAATTGGTGAGAATAAAACTTAATCCAGTTTAATCCCGCTAAGACACAAATCCATTTACTGTGATTCCATAATTTCAGGGCACATGTCCTCAATGTGTATCGAGGTTTTCCAGAGAAACTACAGCATAAGATTCTTCAAAAGAGGGTAAAGAGTTTTCTTCAAGGTTGGCAACGCGCACGTAATACATCTGGTATTACAGGCGTTCATAGGCTAGGGTAACCACTCACTATCAGGTGAGTTAGATGCTTGTTTGCCAACTCAGGGATATAAAAAAAGCTACTGGACCATGTCATGCAATTTAATGTGATGATAACTTAAGATCTATGGAGTTTATATAATATTTTTTTATTGTGATTAACTCTTGATCCTGAGTGCAAATAATAAAACTTACCATGTAAACAACATTGAGGACATAAAAACTAATTTATTTCAAATTATAATTGAAATAAACATTTACTTGATACTTAAGAATATTTTTATATTACACTAGAGACTAGCCCTTCGCATAGGTGTTAATGAAAATATATTGTAAAAACCTTTTGAAAAAATATCTAAATAACCTAAACAAAATCTGTATTAAAACCCGTGGTTAAAAGAAGTAAACGAAGAAAGAGATAGACGCGGACAACGATTCTGTTTTATACTATTTAAAGATAATTGTGTTTGGAAAACACTAATTGAACAATAACGAACGTTAAGTAAAATTTCATGGACAAATTAGCTGTTTCTCTGTTTCTGAAACACGAACACAACAGAGTGTCCCTAGATAATGGTCCTTAAACCAAGTCGGAAGCTTTCGAGCGACATGATAACTCCGAGAATATCGTTGGCCTCTAACTACACACAATCCCCTACAGATCTCGTAGTGGATTAGAACTACAAGAAATATACCGCTTAACAGTGGAACTATAAACAACCTCTATTAAAACATTTTAGAGGAGAAATACCTGCACTTTTTGTATTTTAAATCATACCATACCAATTTTAACATAAGAACTATTTTGCTTTTGAGTAATAACTATACTAGATATTGCATTTTTTTCTATTGCACGTGGACCCCTGAAGAGCTATATAAACCACTATTATTATCAATAATATAAATGTACAGATTGACTTATAAAATACAGGAAGTATAAGTATAGATATTTATTTCTACTTTCAGTTAATCATCGTTATCATTATCAGCGTACTGAACATAGGCCCTGTCAAGGTAAATCATTGAAGAGCGCGATTTTTGGGCTTCAAGTTATTTTCAACCAGCCTATTGCACCCTCGGCTAATATTAAAAATTGTAAGTGCTCCTCTTCGGAAATGGTTTTGTTTTCTTCATATTATATAGAATATATGACAATAAGTAACTACAGGTACAGTTACAAATTTGATTTAATGAGACTCTAAAAAATAACAAGCGTTAAATCAATTTATTTTATACTATACTTAGCGATCACTGATCACTGTGACGTAATGATCGCAATTCTAATGTTATCATTGTACCACTCGATCAAAACATTAATCGAGATTACGTATATTTCTAATGAGTAATCGATTTAGGTTCCCTAACAACTTTTTACTACTAAACTTATTACTACTGTGAATGTTTATTTTATATATTAGATATTTTATTACAGATTACATAAAAAAAAATAGGAAAATCCGGACTTCAAAAAAAAGAAAATCGGATCATTTGGAGGTATAATTAAAAGAGATCAAAACATATTTACTGAATGGAAAAAATTGGCATAATATGAAGAAAGGTAAAGAATTATTCACAAAGGTATATTACAAAAATATAAAGAATCACATTAAAACATTGAGAACGTAGCACAGATATTCTACTGCAAATTTGTCTTCTATATATGCAAAACACAATAATGAAAAAATTACAATTAGAAAGCTTAAATAGTTTCTTTTCTTTTCTATTAATTTCTTTTTTAATATTAAATTCCTGTTAATCGCATAACTAGAGGGAGACTTTGCTTGGGTACCTCTGTCCCATTTGTGTTTCTACCGTGAAGCAGTTGTTTGCATGTCTGTGTTTCGGTTTGAAGGATGGGATATGGCAGTGACTTTACAGGGTACAGAGGAAAAACACCTAAGTCTTCAGGAATGGCGATGCATGGGTGGTTACATGGGCGAAACAGTATACTCTGTTATGTTCATGATACTGCTTATGTCTATAGGTGACATTATATTACTACTTTCCATCAGATGGGCTATCACCTTGCTTGCCATTCTAAGTTGCATAAAAAAAAGTTAAGTGTTAACCCAGATAAAATATGAATATGCAAACTCTTTGGAAATCCCAACTTTTTTTATTATAATCAAACAATTATGAACATAAACCTAAATGGACGAAACCCCTACTAGTTCTTAATCTCACTCGTATAAATAAAACCACAAGTAATCAACAGAGTAGTGCTGCTCTGTGTTATTAACATTTACCAAGATAATCACTCTTGTGATTTGATATTTAAATTCGTAACCACTGCGAATCACAGCGGAGCTCCCAGGAACTTGATAGATGTATAATTCAGTATAATAAAATCTCCAATAACTCGACTTCATTTGAATGTTCCTACGGTTATTTCAGAAAAAAAAGTTATAAGAACTGCTACTATAAGTAGTTAATCAAATTTCTTTGACAATATTCTAGATTTTTTTTTAAAGGGTGATAATGGAATGGTAACCCTACCCGCGCTATCAGTATACACCGGCGGGGCATCAGTGAGGGATGATAGATAAGGATAAAGCAGGTCAGTTAGCCCATCGTGACAAATTCCATAAGAATTATTCACGATGGTTTCCAGGGGAAACCACGTGGAGGTCGGCCTAATAGGGCATATTGCATAACAATGGGGCTGTCAAACTCCATTGCTAACAACCCCTTTCTCCCCATATTCTAGAATTTGTCGACGTATAATTGACTTTACGTTCATTTAGAAAACGAAAATTAACGTATATAAACTGGTGTGAAATTCGTCATCATCATCATGATCATGTCAGCCTTTAATAGTCCACTGCTGAACATAAGCCTCCCCCTTAGGGGGTTTTACCAGTAGTTGCCATGCTTGGCAGACGGGTTGGCAACCACAGCTAGACTTTAAAGATGTTTAAAGAGGGACACTGCTTCCCATCCCTCGCGCTTACTCGGCTACACTTCGGCACAAGAAAGGAAGGGGTAGCCTATTCTATGCCGAAACCACACGGCAAATGTGAAATTATATATTACTAAATGCACCCATCGACTTTTTCCGCTTGAATCAATATATAAAGTATACTAAATTTCATTCAAAACCGTTCAATAGTTTTTACGTGAACGGATTACAAACAATCATCTATCCACTGAATCTTTCACATCTATAACAGTAGTAAGATTTATATTACATACTAGTCGTTAGTCGCTACTAATTAGAATGTAAGTATAACATGTTCCGGTGACGCAAACGTAGTTACCGGTATACACTAATAAATAAAATAAATTTATCAACATCTTTATTATATAAGTCTTATAACGGTGTTAATGTTACATTGTTCAGCTATAAACCTTCATTGATTAAAACAATCAATAAAATACCTGATTATCGCATCTTAGATTACAATTAGCAAATATTTAATTTTAATATAGATGCTTAATGCATTTATTGGAAACACTAACTTTTACCCGCGACTTCGTCCGCTTGAATGGCATATGTCGGACCGACATAAAAAGTAGCTATGGGCATCCTTTAAGTTTTAGCACCTATATGTCAAATTTCATAGTGATTGATTAAGCCGTTAAGGTAATAAAATAACAAACTCATTTTCACATTTAAAATATTAATAGTAGGGATTTTAAAGATAAAGCAATTTTACGAAAGATTATTAAAGGATTCGAAATAAGTCCAATATTGTAACGCAGACAGTCCAATATTAGGCAAAAATGACATTGAAATAACTGAAATGACAAAGAAAATAATTATAATATGAAGGATAGAATTAATACTCGTAGCATTCCTAGAATCTAGATATATAGAATATAAAAAAAACATTATATTTTGCCTAAACGACAGCATTAATTCCCGTCTCTCGTAAAACATACACGTAAATATATTGCCTTTAATTATTGATGTAATTAAATAAAAATAAATCTTATTTATCTTTTATTTCTAATACGTGACTAAAACAAAATTTACACCCATAAAAAAAATATACTCACCATAAAACATCATTCGTTACGTTTTATCGGTGAATAAGTATTGTCGAAGCATGAACACAACAAAGGTAAAATCGCCCATCACAGTGTATTACGTTCCCAATGAATTTATATGACCATTTCGATTCTACTATAAGTCATAAATATTCATAACAAAACGACTATTAAATTTATTTTACACCGGCTACACGATTCCATTTTTGTTGATAGAAATGTTCGCGAAAAAACAGATATGTATTCGAATGTCTCTGCCATTTAAATTTGAACCCATTTAACCATTTAAACACAGTTAAATGGGTAAAAATTCACACGATAACTGCTTAATTACATTTGTTCATGTATTAAAAAAAATGTAAAGCAATAACTGTTTTACTCACGTTAAATTCAACAAACGCAGCAACTATTTTACGCAGAACTGCATAATATAATAGAAATTACTAGTAACTTATAGGAGAAAAAGGAATTATCAGTAATAGGTTTGTGAGTCCCCATTGCTAGCAATAGTAATAGCATTGCCAGATCGATGTCCACACTGTCCGCTCTGGAAATGGTATGGTCATGGTAAACTAGTGAATTCATCACGAATCGTGAAATTGAAAGTTGCATGTGCCCATTGTTTCGTCCATCACTGATACTCCACCGTTGCACACCATTAGCACAGTACAATACCATCTTCTTTCATACGGAACCCTAAAAAATTTTGAAATTTTGCCGACGGATAGTAGTCCTTTCGGTGTATACTCGGCTCGGATATGAGAGGGATGGGGGTTCAAATCCTGATCCCGTCTTTAAAAAGTTTTTACAACCTACTAGTGATATAATATAATTATATAATTTAATGTGATTATTCACATTAATTCACTGACCTGTAACTCTGAAACGCCTTGAATTCTGAAACAAAAATATTAAAATGTTATATATTTATATAATATATTACATTTATCTTATCTCTTTGGAACTTCGATACATAATATTTTTATTTACAAATATACGATTTGTTTCTTTTATATGTACTAAAAACTATATATATACATTATATTCTTAATTCTATTTTAAAATGAATTTGATATTCCATATTTAAATGTCAAAATTGTTTTAGACCTGAGCTTAGTGGTTGACGTAGTAGCATTAAATACATTTATCGATATTCGGCTTCGAGTCATATTGTTTCGATATTAAAATCTGTCTAAACTTAACCTCATAGCCTACTTAAACTTTATAATATCAATGAAAAAGTATATATTTTGGAAATATAGTGAAAGATCGTATTAATAAGCATTTTATAGTCATTACAATTACGCGGGCTATGGCAATGTATATCGATATCGAGTTGTAGATTAATATCAATGCTTATTCCTAAATTGAAGTATTGTATCGAGATGACACTTGTCATATGAGATGACATTAGTGGCGACATCGAGTCTGATATAAAACGATCAACGTTATCCATCGTTTGTATTTAGATATGTATAGATAGAACACTCTCTTAAAAAGATCGACTTAATCTATACATATTCGATAGTATAATATTATATTCCCTTTAGAAATATTAACACTCAATGAATAAACAGCACATTATTTGAGTCCCTTTAAAATATAAAAATTTTATAACCAACATTCACCGGGAAATGTGTCAAACCACAAATACAAGTTCGCTCATCGACTTGATGTAAAGTCGGCTCAATCACTATCAGCGAACTCGAGTTCATTAAACAAAGTTTTCAGAACACAACAGTAATTTGCGTGTTATATTACGAAGCACACGCCCTCCTGCCACAGTGAGGAGAAAATTATCGAATTAAAACTAATTAAAAGTTGTAACGAAAAATTTAATAAAGAATATAATAGAATACTTTATTTGTTTTGAATAGGTGATGACAAAGTTCTTATAAAATAAGTAAATAGTTCCCTATTCAGCTGATACTGAGCATGCAAATTTTAAGGTTTTGTTAAATACTTATACCAATCATTATTTTACTAATAAATAATAGGTTATTTAATTTAATCTGTATATATATATATATATATATATATATATATATATATATATATATATATTAATAATTTAAAACTTGTTAATTAATTCACTGATAATCGTATCAAATCAACTTGACAGACTGATATAGGTCAAGTATAATTTTAACTTTAATATCACTAGAGATTTATGGCAGATTTATCTTCAATAATAGATAATTTAATCCAAAATTTTGTTCCGAAATAAGACTTCTGTCTAAACAAAATTAGTGTGAAGTTTTTTCAACTATATTTAAATTAAAATTTTTAAATTTTATTCATAAAAAAATAAAATAGGCGCTCTAGTCTTTTTTGAAGTCATTTGAAAAATGCAATGACTATAATGATGATGACGATGTACAACAGTATACAGCAATGCAAATCTACCCTACAAATCTGCTGAATTAATGAAAATTCAAGGGAATACTGTCTCAAACGACTGTATACAATTAGTCCCGAACTCGACTCGGCTCAGGGTATTAGGCTCGGCATTTTCCACCTTTCCGCTTGAACGCTCTAAGCTAAATGAGTTTACCTACATATTGTACGTGTATATCTCTTTACTTCGACACTAACTTACGATACAGAGCGTCTAATATCTTACAGCTTAACAAATTTTTTAAATTTTATTTATAATAGGTAATGTCCTAGAAGAACTTAAAACAATATTTCTTATTTTATAAATACGATTACCAGCAATGACTTACGTCTATTTTGTTGAAAATACTCGATTAGTCTTATATCATGTCTAATCATGGCCACTTATTATTAAAGGTCCTGGATGGTCCCGAAACTAGATTATAGACTAGTCAACAATTACAAGTGATGGTTATTTTTTACAATATAATGATAAGAATACGTATGATATTTTTCATATAAAACTAAGAAGTTTTTTTTTCATTCAAAGTAAAGAACTAAACCTTTTAAGATTTTATAATCAAGTATTTTTTCTTTTTTATAATACTAATAATGACAAAAAACTGACAAAGCCCACCTTATGAATAGTGATAACCGTCGCCTATAGACATGAGCAGTGTTATGGACATAACAGAGTATAGTGTGACGCTCATGACACCCTTCATGCGATACAATACTTTTTGTCTTGTTAGGATTAACATAGAAAAAGTGTTATCCATAGAAATAGTAGTCATAATATCCTCATATTAGTGTGTGTCACTGGTATCCGTGGAAATAAATCGTGTAAGATTTCGTACGCTAAACATGTCAGAAGGGCTGTAAGTACCCATTCATTAAAACATTGAATTAACTTCGGTTCCAAATGTTGTATTAGCAATATAATTTATATTGACAGTATAACAGAAGTTAGTTTCGATGTTTCTGTCATTAATGATAGTTATTTAGCAGTAAATATAATGCAAAATGTAAATATATTATAGGATTATAGAGTTCAGCCTCTGAACAGCAATAAAATATAAATAACAATATTTGTTTCATAACTCGGTGTAATTACAAAAAAATATACCAGTTTATTATGGACTAATTCTTTTTAAATTAATATTGAAATGGTAACACCGCTCGTGTTTTTAGTATACCTTGGCTTGCCTTGGATTACCAATAAAGAGATTATCCTTTATTGATAATAATTTTTAATTGAATTCACTTATAATCGTATTTTCTGATATTGCTCACAACTTAGGTTACATGTTTATTTCTATAGCTAATAACGCAACTTTTAAAATATTTGTAGTCTAGTGTTATTTAATTCATTATATTATTTGATTGTTACTTCATTTTCTCGCACTGTATAACTATGTTAAACTAAATGCTGTGAATACCTATAATGGGCATGTGCATTAATATTGTATTATATTTAATGTTTGTTAAACCTATATGTTATAATACAATATGGTGTTGGTGTTCCTCAAATAAATTCACCCGAAATCAACCATGATGGTTTCCAATGTACTTGAAAAAATATATAACTAACTTTGAGGCTGCTAATATAAAAAAATACATTTTTGTTAATTTACACAAGCTAATAATAATCAGTTACCCCCTGCAGTAGATTGTTAGTACTCGTAATGGTGCCTACTAGTATATTACGAGGTCTGTCCGGAAAGTTCGTATAAAAGTGTTCTGGAATGCGAGAAAGAGGAGTGAGGAGGCCAGGTAAGCGCAGGACCCCTTCCTTATGTCCCTAACAATGCTTCAGTTCTGGTTTGACCGCCGTGCGGTGCGAACTGGCTTGTCACGCCATCTGTGAAGTTACCTCTTAACGAAACCCCGTCGGCATAGAGCCCGCTTCCGTTGAAGAGCAGCGCGTCGTAATCAAGTTTCTCTCGAAACTCGGCAAGAATGGCCGTGAAAGCAAAGAGTGGAAGACATCCGGGGAACCACGAACAAAAAAATCAAGAAAATCCCGCTCAAATGTCAAGACAATGTTGATTGTTTTTTTCGATGTTCGGGGGATTGTCCATCAAGAATTCGTCCCTCCAGGCCAGACAGTTGATGGAAAATTCTACGTCGATGTGCTCAGACGCCTCAAAGCTCGTGTGGCACGAGTTCGTCCAGAATTGGCGCGAGAGGGGCGTTGGATTCTTCACCACGACAATGCCCCTGCCCACACCTCTCTTGTTGTCCGTGAGTTTTTGAGTAAAAATTCCATTACTGTGACCGAACACCCCCCTATTCGCCTGATTTGGCCCCGTGTGACTACTTCTTGTTCCCAAAAACCAAATTGGTACTTCGGGGGCGGCATTTGGGGGACATAAATGAGATAAAAAAAGCTACTGAGAAACCTACAACCAGAGGACTTTCAAGGAGCCTTCTCACAGTGGAAACGGCGTTGGCACAAGTGCATTATGTCACAGGGGGAGTACTTTGAAGGGGATAAAATTGATTTACCTGAATAATTGTAAAATAAAATTTTTAAAAACTTTTATACGTACTTTCCGGACAAACCTCGTATATTATCTATGGTGACTAGTAGGCTCGTAGTTAGTTATACGATTATACTCTGTGCAGAAAAAACAGTTTTAACTTTTAAGTAAAGCCATCTGAGAAATAGGTACACATAGCAGCAGAACAATTCGCTTCTCGTACTACTACTACCAGTGAAACGGTCTCCGCAGGGGAGTGTCGTCATATAAAGGGATAAAATACATTAGATTCATGCTAGAAGATCAAAACTTCACAGTATTTACCGATCATAAGTTTATCACCTACGTATTGAAAACCAAACGAAACAAATGTTAATAAATTTAAAAAAATACTCGCCACGTTAATTTACGCTACTTACTAACAACACATAACTAATTAAATTACCTAGTCCCCGAACTAAATGTGAAGACCGGATAAACTGGAAACATAAAATACTAAAAATCCCAAGTCAATTTGGAATATCCTAAAATAATCCGAACGAGAATCGAAACCCCCAAACTTAATACGCAAATCATCGGACTTAGTACTGCGCCATGATCGATCATTTGCATCGAGTACTCGTACGATAGGAATGTTTTCATCGAGCTAGATAATTACATAGCGTCCGAACAATGCTCTGTTAGCTGTAAAACGAATCGATATGCTTTCACTATTGCAGTGTCGACGTACTGTTTGATGGAATTCTTTGTTTACAAGTAGGTACTATTGGTAATGTGAAGCGAATATAACAAATGGAATAATTTGTGGATAATTTTTAAATTGAATATGTAACCTAAACTTTAACGTTTTAGATGCGTTTTAAAAAAAAAGTATAAAATGGTACGTAATAGAAATTACTGAATTGGGAAAAAATATTTGTTTGGAGCATTTAAGATTTTATTCTATGAAAATCGAGACAAACTTTATATTAGATCTTATCTAGAGGAAATAAAAATTGAATACAAAATTATTAAAAACGATTCATAATTGGCAAAGATATCACATAATATTCTTCAAAAAAAGGATTGAAAGGCTTCTCCTTTTTTAACAAAACCTATTTCTTTATTTTTGTAACTCCTATATAATACTTCCTGTTCTATAATATTCCTATAAATATCCCTTCCTTTCCCGTGGGTGTCGTAAGAGGCGACTAAGAAAATTTAATAGTCGAGGAACTTTGTGAGACAGTGTGGCAATGTCCCTCTTAATGTTTTAAGAGGTAAACTTTCACCAAAGACTAACTACGGTTGCCAACCCGCCCGCCAAGCATGACAACTACTGGCATATTTCCTTCTTTATTGGGGAGATCTATGTTTAGCAGTGGATAGTTAACGACTAATAAAATGATGATGATGATGAGGATGATATAATACTTTAAACTTGTTGTAACCTTCCAGTCACATTGAGGTTTAATTTAATTCATTCATTACAAAAATAAATTTATCAGTATACTTCCTCAATGTCTAAGAAATATGAATAAAATATGAACTTAATAAAACTCTCGACACTGAGTGACAGACGACGCACAGCCAAAACGGTGGGTTTATAAACAGGATATGTTGCACAGGAATTTCTTATATAACGTAGGTGAGTATTAAGGTGTTTGAAAATTCATCGCCCAAAGCGGATAAACGAAGTAACGAATAGATATCTGTGTCTATTATTTTTATATATTATTTATTTTGTATAGGTATACATTATTAGTTGTTATTTTCTTTACCTATTTCAGTCGCGTTCATGATTTTCTGTTCATCCCAAAAGTTGACTGGTAGACAGTGCTACTAGCACTAAGTCCGCCTTTTAAGTATATCTTATTTTATTTTGGTCAATAAAGTTATTTCAATAAAATAAAAAAATAAAACTTCTTGTTGTATTTTTTTATAAAATTGGAGGCAAATTAGTAAGCGGCTCATCTAACGGTAAGTGATTACCGCCGCCTATAGATACACACAACATCAGAGAAATTTCAAGTGTAGCCGGCCTTTTAAGAAGGAATATATACTTTTGTTAAAAGTTTAAATGTCGTATTATGTTCGGAAATACTGCTGTTGGGAGTTGCTTCTATACTTTAGTTGTACGTGCAAGAAAATATTTACAGAAACGCACGGTGGAAAGCCGTCACTCATCTAGATGATTGAGATGAAATTTTAGCTGATGGCGGGTTGTATGATAATGAAATTCAGTAGCTGGAATTAATCCGAATAATTCCTTTGAACACTCCCCGTAATATATGTGATAAAATATGCAAAGAGAAGCAACGTCTCTACGCAATGCCAGGGTATCACGTGACCTATGTCGAAACTGACGTGTATGCTAAATTTCATTACAATTGACTAAGCCATTTAATCACCAAAAGATCGAAACAAATAAAGAAACAGCCTCATTTTAACGTTTGTAGCATTCTAGCTGCTCATCATCTTTAGTAATTAGGATAAAAAGAATCCTAGCTGCATAATGCCCTTTCCCTAAATTTACCTCTTAAACATTTAATATTTTAATGTAGAAATTGCGCAAAATTGCTGTTTTATGGACCATTAGAAACTAAAATTATATTAATTTTTACTTAAGTCTCTTAAAAAAAAAGTTCATATTGATTGATTACAATAAAGATTTAACTATGATGTCAAATTTAAATGTTAATTTTAAAGATAGGTTTAGAAAAATGTCGCCTCAGAATTAACCCTAACGTTTCAATCAATCAATCCGTTCTGCCGTTTGAATATGATTTAATAACAAATATCATAATATTATAATAGTTGATTTTAAACTTTTGCGCTGTTTATACATATTTTAAATAAATTATCGGGACTTAATGCGAAGAAAAATTTTTACAGGTATATAGTACACATATCTGCTTCTTTATCGCCGACGTCTTTCTTTAGTCCTGTCGTGACGAGTGTCGTGATGCAATTCGACATGGATGCAATCATCCAAAACTTCGGCAATAAAGAAGCAGGTATGTAGATACAATTTATCTGCAAAAATTTTTCATCGCGTTAAGTCCCAGTAGTGTAATTCAAATATTAATTTGTAATATTATCATGAACCTGTATTTGCTCTACAAAATTATTTTGTTACTATTAACCTAACAGTATCTGCAACTAAGTTACCATACAAGATTTTAGAAAATCATTCACAAAGACAGTCTAGTGGCGACTTCGACCCTGACATGAATTTATGAAGACGGACAAGTGCAGTGTGAGTGAGAAAAATGTCCTTTGAATATACAACACTAGTGAACGATCTGTTCTCTTAAACGTGTCGCGTATCACATTTGAATCCGTTCGTGAATAATACATACGTGTTTATTGATGGTGCATTCTTGCCTACTAGCGACTCTCGTAGATTTTTCACTCAATACTCTAAAGACTTGCGCAAACTAGAGATAAACCTCAGCGGATATTGTTCATAATAAAACAGATGGAATAGAAAGGATCGTGGACTAGTCGCCTTTGGTCTGGACCAACTTATAACCTTATGACCTTTGTAATCAATAAATCCATAGTATACTACACTTTGAACTTATTGACCTCAAAGATCGTAATCGAAAGTTCGAACGAAGTTTGTAGACACCAATTTTTTTATACTAACTTTTGAAAGGAGACTGTGATACATGAAAAAGATAATTATAATCTCGCTAGCACTATTGATATAAGCTTGCGGAGCACCAGTGAGAGAAGACAGGTAAAGATGAAAGCAAATACGTCACAATAGACTAACTGATCTTAGTCAGTCCATCGTGACGTATTTTACAAGAATTAACCACGATGATTTCAGGGGAGAACCGCATAGAGGCCAACCTAGTAAATTATATTGCTATTAATGTTAGACAAGGGGGAACTACTAGTCTCTGAAATCTTAGCTTAACTGAGCTGAATTCTATATTAAATAGGAAGAAAAGAATTATTAGTAACAGGAATTAGCGGCCTCACTGCTAGTAGTATACCCTATCAGGCCAACTTCCACGCGGATCACCCTGAAAATCTGGAATTAGTTACAATGGGCCAATTGACCTGCTTTCATTCTCATTTATCATCCCTCACTAATTCTACGCTAACATTTACTTATAGCACAAGCAAGACTATAATTCCATTATCACCCGTTAAAAAATCTTCGTCACATATCCGCTCACTGGTACCGTGCCAGTGTAAACAACCAACGAAGGCATTACCATTCCATTTTCATTCCATGTAAAATGCAATTAAAAAACCAAATTAAGGCGACAGTCTGACCCACTACTACATTCGATTCTAATATTGATGCCAATATTAGCAGTTCAACATAACGGTAGACACATGTCTCTTTGCTCTTCTAAAGTTTAATATCATTTGTATATTTATTTTTTAATACCTACTATTAAATGCAAACTGTAACGCACATCTACGAGTCGATGCATATGTGATAATGAATATAGAAATAAATATATATATATATACATATATATATATATATATATATATATATATATATATATATATATATATATATATATATATATATATATATATATATATATATATATATATATATATATATACTGAATGGGACAATTAAATGAATGAAAAACGGACGGGTATTAAAAAGGCAGCCATAGAATAGCAATGTAAAAAATTAAAAATGGCTTCTATGAAAATAAACTCCCTTTCATCTTGCGAATCCGACATATATATGATGTTGTACCTGCCTACCAAGCGTGGCAGCTACTAGCAAAACTCCCCTTTATGGGGAAGGTATATGTTCAGCAGAGGCCAGTAAATGGCTGATACATCATAATAATATTAAATGTATATGACAAACGACTGTAGGAAATTGTCTAAACATTTCTTCTGGACTTAATAGGGGAAGACGAGGAATTTGTGATTTTTGTCCGCCAAAACTCTTTTGCTTTTGTCATTGTTATATATTAATATATTATAATAACGACTTGCCCCGGCTTCGCACGGATAGTAGAACATATATACTTACATTGTTTATATTAGGTTGCTGCGTCAAGTATGAATTAGATTTAAATGTAACATACTACCCTACTTCGAGTATTTTTAATGTATTTTATTTCCTACGTATAGATAGCTTTCGCAAATAGCATATTGAGTATAGTAAACTATTCCTTAAAAGATGTATGCTATCGTGGACTCTTTTATAGACCTATAATAGAGAAACAATCCCAATGTACATGGTTTTGTCATATCTCAAACGAATTAAGCAGCACTTTTGGTGGACGACTCGATTTTTTCTGACACCTTTAACAGACAAGAACATATTTCAACCATTTAACACATAACTTTGACGAATTATAAACTAAAACCCTTCTAGGATCACTCTGTTCAGTAATTTTTGAGATTATCGTGAACATACAGACAGACACGTCAGGGCACTTTTTTTATTATATGTAATGGATGAAGATGATTAATGAATATATAAGTCTAGAAATTCGATTCTTCAAAAAAGAACTTTACTACCTAATAATTAATGTCTAGTCATTATATCTAATAAGTCTTATCTAAACATGTCATTCCACATCGTGAACCTTTCCTGAGGCTTAAAATATTCATAATGTGATAAACTGGATATTTTTCTACACTGACAGGCAAGTTATTCGCTAAGAATCTTTCATTTTTAACGATTGAGACGCCTGTCACTGCCTACGCTATATTTGATTTTATTTTTGAAGCACTGTAATTTAATAAATATTTATTACTTTTTTCAGATGTCGTTATGTCATAATATGAATGCCGACCACAGACATAAAACATTCAGCATTTATTTATATTGCTTTCCCAAACTTTTATTAGAAAATATAAATGCGGAGTCAAAATTTAAATCTAAATATATAACCATGTTTTTTTTTCTATTTTTTATACAGTTATATAATTTGTTATTATTTTTCATAAACATAATATTCCCATTGCATGCTTATATCTTTTTTCTTTTAATTCAACCTTCTAAACATTATGGATGAAAAAATACATATCGTCATATTCGTAGAATACTGACGGATCTGACAAATATTACATATCTATATCCGTCAGTATTCAACGACTATTACGATATATGTATATGTAACGAAAAGTACTATATATTATGGATGAAACATTTTGTCCATGCTAAATATCCTTACAAAAAATATATGTAATACCGATTATCGTAAAGAAATTACGATTTCAAAAATAGATATAAGTAGATATAATTATTAGGAATTAATTATTATATTATATTTTCTAGTACCTATCCAAACTGCATATTACTTACACAATTAATATTGTTTCCAAAAAAAAAACTGACTTCAGTTTTAACAAAACCAGTTATTTTGATTTAAAAACTAAACTACCAACCCGATTTTAATAGAATTTCTAAAAAACATACATATCTTTAAGTATATCCTTTTAATAAAAAATTCCTAATCGATTTACAACTGACAAAGTTATAAGGTAACAAACTTAAAAAAAAATACAACTGAATTGAACATCTCCTTTTTTTTTTTGAAGTCTGTTAACAAGATTTATTTTATTTAGGTAAATTATAATCTTTTAAGTTTTGATAAACGCTCGCTAACAATAAAAAGACTCCACTAATAGTCGTAGTCAATCTAGATTCAAGGAACTTTAACATCAATAGGTATCACAAGAAAAATGTACTATACCGTTCACTTCGACGTTCCGAGAAGCACGCTTGCTGTCCTTACAGAATAGGGATGTCAATACATTTATTGGATACAAAGAAAACTTAAAAAATCTTAGCGCTGATCGTTGAAACACTGAGCAGTTATTTTATTCATGTGTTCAATTCGTGAATTGTAATAAATTAATCAACACCCTCAGCCCGGATAGCGAAGAGATGTGGGTTCGAATCCCATTGGATCGGGTCGTACTTTTTTCAATCTACTCGTATTAATAATGTAGGATTCCCAAATACCGAATTACGTAATACTCAAGCAATTATTTCTAAATAATTTATTTGGAAATTTATTGTTATAATATTCTATTAGATAAACAACATATGTACTTATAATCAATCAATATATTACCAAATATATTCTTTTCCTCATACTTTAAAATCATATTTTCTTATATCTCATAACTCTTTCGAAAATCATGCAAACATTTATTATTATTATTATTTAAAGAAGGGTTTTAGTCACAGGCTTTTCTGTCCGAAACAACTCCTCTTTCAATAATAAATACATTATAAGACAAAAGTAATGAAAATAATTAAAAAATATTTTAAATAATATCATAATAATCGACATATTCAAATTTAGAAGTCTCAATCATCATCATCATTGTCAGCCGTTAACTGTCCACTGCTGAAGATAAGCCTCAATTCTTGATATTATATAATAATACTTAATACAGTTATAATATAACAGATGCCTAAAAATAAAATAAAATAGCCGTTATTTCCTTTAACACATAGAAAGTGAAAAATCAACACAACGTTATAACTGTATAATTAAATTATATCCGGACGGCAACCCTACATAACCGCACAAACCCACTTGCGCTTAAAAACTCTTCGAGTCTCAGATGTACCGTTAATACGGCCTTGATAGTTGATCACAGATGCCACGAGGACCGGTGAGAACGCCACTAGAATACTTTTAGTCAGTGTTAATGACAGCTATACGAACTGGACGCTCTTTCATTATTGGTATTATTACTAGCTTTACCCACAACTTCGTCTGTGTCGTAGTCGAAATTAACTTAGTTCGAAGAAACGTGGTTATTGGATACAAACAAGATTATTGGTTTTTTTTTTCGTAAACATAACTTTTATGAAATGGCAACCCTGCCCGCGTTATTGGTGTACTCTGACGGGGTAAGGATGAGTAATGACAGATGAGGACAACCATCATGAATTCGTGATTAATTTACCATAAATTAACCGCGGTGATTTTCAGGGAGACCACGTGAAAGTCGACCAGACAGGGCTATCAATGAGGTATTAAGTAAATATAAGGATATTTCATTACTAACAATCCCTTTCCCCTCTAAAAAACAAAACTATAAATTCAATCGAATAATTATTAATTATAGTCTGCTTCGTAGATCATATAAATTCTTTGTTTAAAAAGCCATTTTAGAGACTTATGTATAACCATAGCTGTTTAAAAACTCGTAATTTACTTAATTACATATATTAAATTTAAAAATATCTATTCGTTGTAATTAATTTGTATTATACGACCATCAAGCTGTCTCGACTCCATTTAATGACATCTTACATAGACCTAGTCCAAACCGTCAGGTGACAAAATGATCACACAGTAATTTATTATTCAATTTAATTTATTTTAAACTTAATCAATATTTAACTACTTACTTTAATTAACTTTATTCTAGTTATTCGAATGTTTATTTTTATTCATGTAGTTTTAATGATATTATGATAAAACTACGTTTGAAATAAATAAATATTATTATTTATCAAAATTGAGTACAAATATATTTTTATACCCTTAGACAAAGGATTTTAACGAATTACATATTGTCGGTAGAAATATCTCCGTCGACCAGACAGGAAGACATAAACAAGGGTCATATTTCATAATACTTTAACGTCAAAGGAAATTGTTCCGAAGACTTGTAGTTTTCTAAGTAACTTAGATTATGTCACGTTCGAACGTTTCCTATTATTTTTCGATACAAAATAACGTAAAATGACAACTCATAATGTAAACGGTAAAA